CCCCCTCCTACAAACTCAACCAAGTACGACCCCCCCGATGTTACTAGTAACAACGTAGGGTTGACCCTGCTTCAGAGTGCCTGGGACGCACTCGGGGCCGTTCATCTAGCTCATTCTTCGGAAAACTCTGCTCCTTTCTCAAAGCAGATAGTGGCTACTTGGGAAACTGTCGTTGCTTCCAATGAAAACAGTTCTGTTTTCACTTTTTTTCAATTGTATAAATCTTTCACGATCACATCGCCTTGTTACCGTGATTTACGGCCACCCTGTAGATGCGCGAAGTGGACCTGTGGCGCCCTTGCCACGCGATCTAAGTTCAAAAGATACCCCGGTAGAGGACCCGGATAATTCACTCGTGAGAGAGGCTCTCAATGAAACTGATGCGATGGTATGCTTGTTCATTCCAAACGCAGAAAATGTCTAAAAACTTCTGTCCTTGTATTACTCACGAGAATTTGCAATGTTTATTGCAGGCATCGAACTCGGCATGGTGCTGGCTGTTATACTTTCGATTTTTCTTACTGAGACATTCGAGAAGCACTACCTACGAGCCCATAAGAGGAACTATTGTTTACATGATCATTTGCTTCTACGGTGTTGCTGAAGCGGCTATTTGGAATGCAGAATTAAACAAGGCTCTCACAATGGAGAGAACGTGGATTGCAAAGCTTTTCACTCCCACTTGCACAACTGCAGTTCAAGAGTCTTCTGCGCTATGTGACATTCCGCTCACTACTGCTCAACTGACTGAAGGTATTTCGCAAATTTTGAATGAGCAATCGTAAAGATACATCCTCAAATTTCATTGAAATTATGTAACGATTTCTAAGAAGTAATAAAAACTCTCTTAAGGATGCAAACAATGGCCTGCGCTCCTTCGGCTTCGCCCGTAACTAAACCCGACCAACTTGAGTTGTAGTTCAATCTAAGAAGAAGAGTAAATGAGTTCTTCAATGAGACTCAAATAGACTTCAATAAATCTCCGCAAGGTCTAGGAAGCGAATGATGTTTTGGTTCTAGGCCCACCCACTTTGGTGCGCGCCCGCCCACAATTGGCGCCTGATCCCTTCCTTGCCGCCATTCTCTATCCACTTTCTTCCAGCTTGAAAAACTTCTTTGGGTGCTAAGTGGGTTGGAGGGGGGACCACGCGGCGGCGCGGCGCTCTGTTCGTCTGCTCCTCCAAGGCTTAGTCCGCCGATGGCGCGTATTTCGAAACTGCCACGTGGCGACGAAATAGTAACTGCCCCTTGGACTAAGCCTTAGAGGAGCAGACGAACAGAGCGCCGCGCCGCCGCGTGCCCCCCACCAACCCAATTAGCACCCTTTTTTGAACCGAATTACAGGCTCATGCATGCTTGCCAAACAGTAACATTTCACCTCCTTCCCAGCCAGCCCAGGGTGAATAGCGGTGTTGGAAATTCTCGACGAGGGGCCATATTTGCTCCGATGCGAGGTGGAGGGGGGGGGGGTAAGGCTAAGCACCAACAATGGACACGGCGCTGCTGCCACTCACTCGCCGTCATCACTGATTTTACAACTGTTCACCTTGGAGTAAAGCAAATGGTACTTGATACTGTCTGAAACGAAAGATCATATGGAAAGTTCTGTTGGCTTAGCTCGCGGTGATAAGTCCAATGACATGGACTAATTACCAAAATTAGCTTGCGCAGCGATCTCCGCACACCTCGGCAGACGCCCGTCCAAAATTATGATTGGGTCAAGCCACATTCGCCCGCCAACTTCGATACACTCTTCTGGGCTCTATGGGCTTGTCCGAAATATTATTAGGTTGGAAGGAAAGTTCCTTAACACTCAATTCGCGCTCTTTCTGGATTTCTCCCGAATGCTCTGGAATCTTCCATGGGTGGTATATAGTAGGAGTGGACCGTGCTACGTACGGTGATCAAATCAGCTTTCCCAATAATGGCGTTTGCATGGCACTAAATCAACTTTTCCCGCCAGACACTCCGAGCGCTCATTCTGTAAGAGCTCCGCCTAGAGAGATCTGCCCACCAGAGGTGGTCAGGATCAGTCCCGGGATAGGCCTGGGCACGTTCTCTCACATGGCGGTTTCGGCTTGGTTTAAACGCTCCGCAGCGAAGACTTTGATCTTTCTGACGCAACACACGACTACTGCCCATTTTGACGTTTGACGGTATTTCCCACGGGTGATGATCTGTCTGGAGGATTGACGAGTACAAGGGCTTCACAATGCTAGCTGCTCGAAAAGATTGCAGAAGAGCTTCGCCGAATATAGCGACAAGTCAACCTGCTTCACGACAACGCGCAACGTCGCGGGTGTTCGGTCTCAAGCCACAAGACTCTGAAGCCAGGCAGGACCGCGGCTGCCCGTCTGCCATATTCGTCAAACCTATCTATACACCTCTTCAACCTTTCCTGCTCGCTTGCTCATTACCTGGAGAACAGGAAGCTCGACGACGTAAACGAGCGCAAATCCGACACCAGAAGGTTGTTTGGCAAAAATCTTCCTAATTTCTAATTTCTGCGGTGTGTCACCCAAATGCCCGAAGGTTGGCGTAGTGTTGTTGTATCTAATGGTCAATATGTTATGGATCATTGAATAAATAAAGAATAAAAAAAATAAATTCAAAAATTGAGCTACAAGTGTTAAGGAACTTTCCTTCCAACCTAATAAATACATGTTTCATTCTTATAAAAAATCACTCACATTGAAAAACGCGCTACGCCCCCTGCGAGAGCTGATTCGTAAGTGACAGATCCAGCCGGATTCGTGATGAAATGTGCCTTTAAGTCATCGTTAAAGTAGCTATTATTTTTGCGAAAGTTCATTCAGATGAGATGTTTCGGCTAAACAGGCGCCTCTCCTTAGATGACGTCCATATGCTATCGTATTCCAAGTGTTCTTACAGAGACCGAGCAGGTCCATGGGGATGGTGCGATTTACCATCAGAGGTATGATGTTTTGACTAATATGCGATTATCTAGGGCCGAAGAGGTACAGTGACGAGTGGCGCCGCATCGCACGCGTAGCGTGGGGGTCAAATCCTGAAGTGTACCCAGTCCAGACAAGCCTTCGATACCTATACGGTTATTTGGTACCAGACTTGTCTGGTTGGCCCTTGCAAGTCACTGCAAAACAGGTCAAATCGAATTATTGCCACTGTGCATCGATCTAAAAAAAGGGACTGATCAACGCCAGTTGCTTTATTTGTTTTTGCTTTTTATGATGATATGCTCGAAGAAACTTCGGTTAAAAAAAGTTGGTTGAACGGAAAGAAGGCGAAAGTTCTGCAACACAAACGGACACACTGTTTACGGTGAAAAGGCTGCTTATCAGAAATTATGGAGAGATGATCGGTAATGCACAAACGAAAAAAAAAGAAACTAAAAGGAATCGGACCAACCCTCGAGGAGTAGAACCCTCCCTTTATCCGCTGCGCGCTAGGCGCTTCGGTGCTGACTTCATCAACGCCTATGCTCTTTCTGCCAAAGAGGCTAGAGTCAGACGGCGAGAAGTTGGGCAGGTAGTAGTCCGGGCATGGCCCTGCTAGGCCGCTGGGGGCATACCCTTCGCTATAAAACGCGCATCGTTCCGCATCTCAGGGAGTCCGTAGTTCTCCTTTTCTGACCTCCAACCTACTCGTGGAATCCTCCTTTGAGTTGCTCAGGGACGGGATTTTCTTGTCATATCTAGTCGACCCGTTCGTCGAGTTTCTCACGTATGTGCCAGCAACGTCTCCGTGCTGTTAAAGTGGACGAGAAGACCGCCGACACTCGAGGGAAGGAAATCCTTCCTTCCTTTAGTTCGGTGCTCTCGTGAAGATGCCATCATCGAGCCAGCGGTCCGTCCTAGGTGTTCGTTTGACGTCCCGAGGGATCCAGTCGGTAACCGCTCTGGTCCAACGGTCATCGCAAAATCGCATGACGTGTCCGGCCCACCTTATCTTCGATTCCTTGGCGAAAACGGCAGCGTCCCTGATCTTCGATCGTTGGCGTAGTTCGGAACTCCGGATTCCCCTCTGCACTTGCGTGTATAGACTCTCAGCATCGCCCTCTCCACAGCGCAAAGGATAAAGCTGACTGCGTGATTGTCCTGCCTGTGCATAGTCCGAGTCTTTCAGATGTAAGTTGAGGCAAGAAGGAGTGTAGAGCAGGTGGGCGTAGAGTGGAGTGCTTTCAGTCTTTCCCAAACTTCGTCGATGTTCTTGTTTGCCCCCGTACTGGTCATTTCCTCCTATTCAGCTACGGATCAAGCATCATTTGAATTTTGATTTTTTTCCATCATTTGAACACAGGTATATGTATCATAGGTGGAACACGGAGAGTACGTTTCGTTGAATAAAAGTAAAGATCGAAAACCGCTCCGCTTCTCCCAAAAAACATGTTCACTTGGTTCAGCTGCAAGAGTCTTTCCAAGGGCGCAGTCGAAATCGGTCAGTATTTGCTCTGCTTGCTCGATGTTCGGTGCCATGTGCATGATGTACGTAGCAAATCGGAAGTCTTCTAGATGGCCAAGCCTCAGTGCCTTATCTTTTCATAACAGTAGAGGCATCAATCAGCCCCTGAGCCCTCTTCTTCTTCCCCTGATGTTAGTCCCGCGCAGTTGCACGGCCCACTGCTTTACCAGTCGTCGCCACTCTGCTCATCCTAGGCAACACCTTTGTCCTCATTCCCTGAGGTAAATAAATCAGTAAACCTGCTCCGAGAAATAGGTGTGCTTTATCAATTTTCGATTCCAGTGGAACTTGAGAGGAAATCGGAAACACAGAATACTTATTATCGGCAACAGCTACGCTACCAATCAAGGCCGTGTGGTCTATGAAATGTGCAAAAGGCCTGATGTCGAGATAAAACAATTTTCTATTGCAGGTTTGGTTTGTTTTTATTCGAGTCTCAGGTATATGATGGTGATCAATGAGTTTATTTGCTATCGCTCTAGAGAGAAGGAAAACCATGGCTGCCCCCTACACGATAGCTTTTTATTCCCAGCACGCTAGGCTTAGGTAAAACATTCTTATAGCGGATTGAATGGGAAACCACCTTCTTGTGAACAAAATCATCCCTCCAAATTTCGGCTTTTCCGTGATACGCAGCTAATGGACTGAGAAATTGGAAAAGAAATCGACATGCCTTCGGAAAGATCTTCAAGCAGTATTTTTCAGCTTGGAGAGTATGCACAAAACTCAAAACGAATTAACAAAGCCCAGTTCCAAGGGAAATTTCTCATTTTGCTGCCCCAGTGGGAAGGGCGTTCTCAATCACCATGAGAATGACATGCCTGATTTGAAACACCCTTTCTGAGTGCTGCACCCTTCTGTCGTGCACGGAACTATGCGCGCCTTTGGGACCAAATTCTCCTCCTTAAGTGAGCATGTTACAATATTATAGATTGAAAATTTCTAACCAGATTTCTGTACACAATGGTATAACAGTTCCATGGTAAATGAGCGAAAACTCGTGCATTTGTCCAGGATCGACCTTCTTTTAATCTTGGATCAGATGGGGTGCTAACTTAGTTGGGGGGGGGGGCCACGCGGCGGCGCGGCAGTCTGCTCACCTGGGCTCTCTCGAGCGAGACAGTGTAAACTCGAACATTCCAGCTTTTCACGCATGTCAAGTGACTGCCCCCACCCCCCCCCCTAGACTGCCTACACTCCCCCTGGCCCACGGATTTCCGAACATGCCAGGCGAGCAGACTGCCGCGCCGCCGCGTGCCCCCCCCCAACTAAGTTAGCACCCAGATGAGTACTTGACTGTAGCCGTCCAAGATTAGGTAACTTTATTAGGCTAACGTTTCGGCTTCTTCGCCTTCGTCAGAGCCTGAAAAAGTCAAAAACAAATGTGACTTGACCGCTCAAACGCCTCCACAAAGGACGATTTCCATATCCTAGCAAACCACCTAACGGTATCGATCGATAAAGATTTTTTATCGATCGATACCGTTAGGTGGTTTACTTAGATATTTTCAAAGTTTTTGACTATTTGAGGCTCTGACGAAGGCGGCGAAGAAGCCGAAACGTTAGCCTAATACAGTTACCTAGCCTTAAACGGTTACAGTTAAGTACTCACCTGACTAATTCCCATGAACAGGAGCATCACTCCTACTGTAAGCTGACTTCTCTGGGGGTACAATAACACAAATGAATAAGAAAATGCAACAGAAAATGTGCGACTATTCCGAGGAGCTCAACAATATACAGCGAAATTAGCTGATCAGTGAGACAACTATAGAATTTGTGGGGTGTGGGTACTTAGGACAGAAAGCGACATTTTCGCGCTTCGCAATGCGACATCGCGCGGCAGGCCAGCGCTCCCACAGCGAAAACAGCTACGGTGAATGGAGCGCGTTATTTGCTCTGGTTCTAAGTTGCGACAAGGAATTTGAAGCTTACTAACCATGGACTTGATAGTGAACGAGGAAATGGCCACCAGAAGAGGACCACTAAATAGCAGTGAAGAAAGAGGTAGGTTAATTTTGCAGAGGATGGATGGTAGACCCTGGAAGAGGAGTGGTTGATGGACGTTCGATGAGACTCACGACAAAGGATCAGTTCGTCAGTTTGCTATGATATATAGAGTATTACCTAGGCCGATGAGTGTGTAATTACCTCGTTCACCAATAATTTGAAGTGTTCTAGAATTCTAGAATACCACTTTAACGGCATCGCTCGGAATCGTGTAATTCACAAAACATTTCCATTGATGAGAGAGAATTCACCAATACAATGAGTGTGAGCGTGGGCAAGCAATAAATCAGAAACTTACAAATTCACGCATGCGAAAAAAGCTGCTCCAATCGCGCGTTCTTCATACCGTAGTTGTTTTCGCTGCGGGTGCGCCAGCCTGCCGCGCGATGTCGCGTTGCGAAGAGCGAAAAAGTCGCGTTCTGTCCTAAGTACCCACACCCAAATCTGTGTACTCCACAATCAACGTTTGTGGACACGCCTACCCCAACCCTCAGATATGAACTGTACCCTCCCCTTCAAAAAGCGAGAAAGTGTCGGGTGCAGACCATGCACCACAAGTGACGACGGCCTTCACAAAATGTTAATGTTTTCTGCCAATGAAATGATTAGCCTGTTGCAGTTGTATTCTATCGATTGTCACTAATTACAACTATCATTTACCAGAAATCAGCTATCACTATGAACAACTTCTAACCAGATTTACTTGGAGGCCGTCGTCAGTTGTGGTGTTTGGTCTGCACCCGACACTTTCTCGCTTTTTGAAGGGGAGGTTATGTCTTTCAAGGCCGATGCCACAGAAATGGAACGAAAAATCGTATTCAGGGGCACGTGACCTCCATACAAATGCACAGATAATGAAAGAACTTTCGATAGTTTTCGGAGACCGGTGTAAAAAAAACAAAGCGGGAGAGGCTTCGAAAGCATTAGCTTTTACAGTGTTAATAATGCAGAATTGGATACAGTTTCTTCTACGGAACTGTGGTCAAAGATAGGAAAGCAAAGTGGTCCATTATTTATAGGTTGTGAAGCCTTCACCACTACCAATCAGTTCTGGCATTGCCACAATTCCAGCATCGTGTACATGAATGCCCTCAAGGAATTCAAACCGGATGTGTTGTTCATCCTTGTGAGGTAAGCTATCAAGTTTTTATCGTGTGAGGTGACAAGTTTCAAACTCGGAGGCAGGGCCATATCTGGGGTCCCTTACACATCGACCTTTTTTCACATTTGACAAACAATGCAGAACTCACAAGGAAGAGTTTGCTACAATGTTTTTTTTTCGAATTTGTTGCGAACGTGAAAGTAAAGAAGTTGCAAGAGGCGCCATGACCGGCTGCACAGTCTGCCATTCGGATCATCTGATTTTTCCACCTCAAATTACACTAAAGGTATATCGCTCTATCTTTCGCTACATTGAACTATGTAGGTTGATCCAGATGGTTCCCTGCTCGACTATGTTGCAAAGTTGTATATCAAAAAAAGCCGTTCCAGGGATGTATTGTCCCGGTCTTCCGCTCGATGCCGAAGCCCGGGTAGCTTGTGAGTTTACTTCTCCGAGAAGGGCGGTGCGGGGCTGCAAAAAAAATTGTCAAGAAGCTCAACGGACTGACTCTTCGCCTCGAACATTCTGCTTAGAAATCGCTGGAAGAGGATGAAAAGTCAGCGATCAGACAAGACAGGGTCAGGGTTGTAAGAGTCTGGGACGGTAGTAAAGTGCCATAGACTGGGAGTTAAAGGTGGTGAACTACGGCCGTAAACGGTGAATAATGAAAGGCGAGACAGCCAGATGACCCCGCTCTGAATGGCGAACTTCACTACATTCCTAGCAAAAGTCGCGCGTCGCCATGGACTTGAACCATGTAATGCAGCGCCCATGAGCGCGACGTTTGCCACTGCACCACAAAGCATTGCTGGTTTACTTTGAAAGAATTGTAGAAAGCAAGGTAGTAACCTATGAGGGTTGCAAAACATCGAGTATCATGGAGAATTGATCCCGCGAGCGATCCAATGTCAACAAGGAACGAACCCACTGCGCCAATCGACGTGTTTGAAAGATCATGGCCTAGATGATTGTACAGGGGTGAAATGCTCCCAGGACCAAGGAAGGAGCTATAACACGATCAATAAGTGGAACACTGCAGGGGACAGCTGATCACCTTATTGGCAGAAAGTTATCAATATTATCGATAGCTCCAGTGGCTTTCTTGCTGCCCACACTCAACACCTTCCACGAACCCCTTTCTTCCCTGCGCTCTGCGCATGGCAGGGACGCAGAGACGCTCAATGCGACCAATGCATGACGTGCAGAGAAAGGGGAAAGTGCATGGGGATTGAAGAGACGCAGATAGACGGCGACTAAAATGTACTCAGGGGTACATTTTAGTCGCCCTCTACATGACCCTCTGCGTCTCTGCAATCTCCACGCACTTTCCCCTTTCTCTGCCGGGTTCGCCGTCTAGGCAAGGTGCCACCTAATACGTTGGCCACTTAAGATGTGGTATAGACCTCGCCCTCTGCGGCAGGTCAGCGCGAATTTCCCGCCTTTCCCAATGCTTTTTAGGTGCGGACGAAGGCGAGGTCAACGTGACCTAGTTGGCCAACTATAGACTGGCCGTTTAGGATACTTTACTTCCGCAACTGAGGAATTACCAACCCACACTGATTGAAGTGATGGACCGTCTTCTTTCACCACCATTTCATCGGTAAAAGCCCACCTCTGGAGACACACTGTGGGTTAGTGTTCTCTCAAATATCTTCTAGTCCTGGTCTCGGCTGATAGATTACTACTTCGTCAACCCTTCCCAGCGCAACTAGTACGGAAAAGCGTTCGAGACGGAGGATCGGTTTGGAAAAAAGAAAGGACGACTTCTTTGGGTCGCAGTCCGTGTTCTCTCAGAGCGAAGGAGTGAACAGACTTCCTGGGCGTTGACGTTGAATGGAAGACGCTTGGCTACAGGCCATTTCTATGATAGTGGCGAAGGGAAATTACAGCGAGTCTGAGCGGCAAATGTCCTGGTTCAAACCTTTCAGGTACATCAGAGCAATAGAACTGACGTCTTCTACGGATCGAATGACAATCGAGAAGTTTGTGGAGGAAGGAATCGACGTTTTGAAGGATTTCTCTAAAATCGTTAACGACAAAATATTCGTTCTACAGGCTATTCCTCGTCCTCAGGTCTTATTTGACGAGCGATATGAGGCCTTGAAGCAGCAGATCATCGATCCGGTTTGTTAATAAATTATAATTCCTATATCTTTTTTTTTAATATTGGGCTCTTTGGAAGGTTTCCGCCATTTTTACAGCTCTTTTTTGAATGCTTCATTTCAGGGTTACTTCCAAGGAGTTGATAACAAATTACATATCCTTTGAATGCGCTTGCTTCATCTAAATCCACTCTTTTCAACCCCGAATCACCTTAATCCACCTTTTTTGAAGTCTTGAATACAAGATACTCAACAGCCTGCTTTGCACTTGTTTCATGTTTTCCCTCAAACTTGCTCACAAGGGAAGGATGGTAGGTCGAAGTGGCCGTTTAAAATGAAATGTATACCTCCTGATGCGTCTCCAGACGCTGATTCCAAATCTGCCTTCCAAATCTGCTAAACGACTCTCCGAACGGAGTTATGAAGCGTAATAGCTCAGTGGTGATGGTCCGGGGTGGCAGGTAAAAGCTCGTAGGATCGGTTCCTTTGCAAGTTGGTTGCTTTGCTTTTGTCTCTAGAAGTGTTGCGGACAAAAGCAAAGCAACAAACTTGCAAAGGAACCGATCCTACGAGCTTTTACCTGCCACCCCGGACCATCACCACTGAGCTATTACGCTTCATAACTCCGTTCGGAGAGCCGTTTAGCAGATTTGGAATCAGCGTCTAGAGACGCATCAGGAGGTATACATTTCATTTTATACGGCCACTTCGACCTACCATCCTTTCCTTGTCAGAAGCAAAATACGACGCAAGCTTAGCATTTGGTTCCAAGTCCACAAAAAATACGCTGTGCAGCCGTAATTCAAAATGTCTTTCTCGCGATGTTGAAAGCTTCGAAGGAGATTAGTGATATCGGAGACTGATAAAGATCAGCTGAGGGTTTTGACCAAACCAAATCTGGAAAATGTTGAACAGGCTGCGTTCTGAATTGCGGGCAAAATATGGTTTCCGAACATAGCGGTGAAGGTGGAAAGCCTAAAGAAGTCGAAGGCCGGTACCTCTACCCACCGTTGCAAAACCCCATCTCGAACTTCCGAGTTTAACTAGCTGAACTACGAACTGTGCTGCAAACATTTTACACACTAGACCTATTGCCTACCAACAATCACCTTTCTAACCATTATAAAACGCTTATCAAAATTTGAAGTGATTTTATTTACCAGAGAAAAGTTACAGTAGATAAAGGCTAATTCCACCGAGGTCTCTCAAGCGCTTCTGTATAAGTTCGTCAACTTTCCGGATTAGTCGAGTATACTGCTGCATATTTTACTTAGCAAAACCCGCAAGTACGAGAGATCAACAAAGACCTATAAATGAGCTAATCAGCGCGGCAACTGTCCTGTTTAGGCCGATGTCAGACTTTGCGAATCGCGCGATTCGCTAGCGTCCGCGGTCGCGTTGCGGTACCAGCCAATTGAGTGATTCACTGGCCGCGACGCGACCGCAGACGCTAGCGAATCGCGCGATTCGCAAAGTCTGACATCGGCCTTATGTGGTCCTCAATCACGTCTATAGGCCCGCCTACCCTATCTGTCAGATATGGACTGTATGTACATGGAATTATTTGAGAAATCCAAAAACGACAGCTCTTCAATAAAATACCATAGAAGTGAATTACAGTAAAGCATCAGAGAGCTTTTCCGAACGTTGTCAAGATTTTTTGACAAATCTCATATGTACTTGGGGCGTTATGAACGATCCCTATAGTGGGTCCAACCGACCTTTCCAAATGCCTTAATCCAAAAGAAGAAAAACATAGTTGAGTAACGCTCAAAACAATGTTTATTTAGGACACCGTCATCAACAAAACCATCGATATTGGGTTCGTTCGGAAGGTGCTGGATCGCACTGTCAAAACATGCTCAAAATGCGCTATGATCGACTACTCGCCATTGTTCACCATCAATGGAACTTTTCAACTTTTTGATAGCCACACTGGGGTTTTCAACGTAAACGGTTACTATCACTTCACCCCTTTCGGCCTGCTCAAATTGAGACCTTTTTATAAAAATATATGTGAAAATATAACCTATTCAAGCGAACGGGAAACTAAACAATAACCGCTATTCTATATAGTAAATTATTAAGTTCGCAAGTTAGAGTAGGTAATGTTCTGGATGTTCTTGGATGGCTTAGTACCAAAAGTGACCTGCGAGCGTGTGCAGCGCTGCGAATGACGTCACTGCGACACCACATGGCGCGCCACTTCATTATAACGTCATCTTAGCCGGCCGCGTACGCGCGCAGTTTCTTCCTCAACGCCTCCTCACAATTCATAGAGAACCAACGATTGAAGTGGCTCTTCCAAGTGATCCGCGCACTTTTGCTTCATCTACTTATTTTCTTTCCCA